TTTAAATATCAAGAATTAGGAATGGAGCAAGTGCTGCTGCCGTTTATTCACAAAACTGGCAAAAGATGTTGAAATAAAATCAATAAATATATGTGTTGACAATGACCCCATATAAATAGGAAAATAATTTTAATATTTTGAATGAGAAGGCTAGAATATGACACATTCTAAATCCCATTATATTTTGCCATTCTGAAAGTTATTTTAAGATTGTATATTTCTATATAATTATTTTTACACAATATAACTTAATAAACAAAATATAAACATGTATAATTATTTATGTTAATTATTTTTCTCTTTATTAACATTTTTTTCTTCTCCTCCAATTTATTATTATAAAAACCTTCAAACAGAAAAATTAAAAACACAGAACAATAAACATCTGTGTCACCTCTAAGATTTAACAGCTGTTATAGCGAAAGGGAGTAAAACTCATTTGCTGTATGAGTATATGAAGTACTGAAATAGAATAAAAACATACAAAGGAATATAAACATACTTTTACTCCTGCACCATATTATTGATATTGTATTGATACATTGTTGCATTTTTCAAGAATCACAATAAACTCCAGATTGGAGAAATACTCACTTACAGACTCAGGCCCTGGAAACTAGGTGAGTCCAGGCCAGTCGTTTGTGCTGTGACTCATTCTCTTTTATTTTTCTCCTGTCTTTTTAAATCTTTATCTTTTCTGTCTGCCAGAAGAATAAAATTTGACAAAGTAATTATTCACTAAAGAAATATCTAAATGAATACTGGTTACATACCAAGGATCGATTCATTGCATTCTATAACAGGGAGCCTATTGTCTTTGTGGTTGGTTTGTCTTGTGTTATAAAGTTCATGAATACATAAACAAAATTCCTGTGTCTTTTGCAAACGACTCTTTTATTGTGTTCCTTGGAAATGAATCACTATAACTAACGTGCGTTGAGTACTGAATGCCTGTTTTCTACTTTTAGTAGACTGGAGTGAATTTAGTTCTGCATGGTAAGATTTCAGTATATGTAGTAAGTTAATTTTAACTTACCGGTAAGTGACATTTTAATTAAACATTTTTAAATGGGCAGATCTAGGCTGGCCAGATAAGCTGTAGGATGCTCAGTTAAATTTGAATCCAGATGTACAGTGAATAATTACTTTATATGAATATGTCCCAACTATTGCATGGGACATACTTATACTAAAATAATTACTCATTGTTCATCTGAAATTCAGATTTCAGTGGATGTCCTGTATTTTGCTTTGCTAAATCCCTCAACATTAACAGAACGTGATGTGTAAAGTGGTCATCTAGGGTTTTATTCATGTACTTTTTTGTCTTTTTTATTTTATGCGATATCAGATTTAGACAAAATATTTTGCAAGTTTCAGCTGCTTATCTGAAATCAACAAACTTGGCACCAGCACTGAGGAATATAGAAAAGTGAGGTATTTTCAGTTACTCAACCATATTTTTTAATTTTATTTTTACTCATTAATTACAATTTTTTTCTCTAAGTACACCAATTATGTAAACTCAATTAGAAGAACAGACAAGTCAAACAATACAAAATTTAAAAAAAAGCACACATAAAAAACACAGAATGACACAAACACACTACGTCATATTACATTTATCTCCCTCCAGAATCAGCCTCTGTTCTTGGAAAAACACTGACTTAGGTCTTAGGAAATCTTACTCCCAGTCCTGGTGTTGTCCTTAAGAGCTCTCTGGCATGAGCAAGTATCTTAGGCTCCTAGGATTTTGGTTCTCATCCATCAATTCGAGGGTTTGAAAGATTGATATCTGAGGTCATTGCCAGACCTGAGGATAGAGTAGACCATGATTTCAGCTTCAAGTTCCTGGAAAATAGTTATGTATCCACGGCACTCATGAGCCCTGTATTTGTTTACCTAATTTGTGTTTGCTTGTTTTTTTAAACTGCACACTTTCTATGTCTTCATTCTTCTTTATTCAAACGGATTTAATTTTCATCTTAATAGGCATAATGATGTTATTCATACAAAGCAATAATTCAAAATTTAATCCAAAGGAAATCTCTTAGCAATATTCACATTAAGATGCTGGATGTGCCCTTTAAATAAAGTCAGCATTTCTCCCTAACGATTTTGAGGGTCATTCTGAAAGTTTAATGATAGAATAAAACGGTATTTTATTTGGGAAGAACAATTTTGGTGGTCCAGAGCAATCATTTTAGGAGAATTGCAGAAGGTAGAAAGAAATGTACATACTAGATCATGATAATTTTAGGCATTAAGACAGTGCTACATAAGACAGATGCTTTCTGCCATAATTTATAAACATATGCTTTAGGGACATGTGATTTTTCCCATTTGTATTATGGGGTGCTCTAAATGTAGTTGGAATACTTCAGAGTTATTTTAGACAACAAAAACTCTTAGCGATCATCTGTCCAATCTCTCTCTCTCTTTCTTCTTAAGAGGAAAGTCAGTCCCAGTGCACTAGATGACTGGTACAGGGAAAACTAACGTAGGGAGGAAAAGGGAGCATCCTGTAGGTACTTTGCAGGGGATAGCGGATGTTGTATCATACGTACTCTATGGGCTGGCCCAGCTCCATAATTCCTGCGATAAAAGGACTGAAAGTGGTAGTGCGGTCCTGGGAGGGAGGAGGGAGGAACTTTTCTGAGATGGGCCTGGGAGGTAGGGTGGAGTTGGGAGACTTGTCTGAAAGCTACATTTGCATGTTCAAATTCATTATTTCTGCTTAGGTTGTCTAAATGTGGTACCTTGATGGGAGAGCCAGGGAGGTGGAGAGGAGATGATGGAAATCAGAGGAGCTAAATCCTTCTCATGACACTTCTTGGCTATGGTACCACTTGTGAGATGAGAGATATTTCCCCCTCCCAATTTTACAGATGATGACCCTGAGGCTAAGAAGCATTTCATTGATTTGCCAAAGGTCATAGGATAATGGGCAGGATTCAAACTCGGGTCTGTCAAGACAGAAAATCCATATATGTGATGCATTATACCAACTGATGAAATAAATGCGACCTCAACATCTTTGAAATCCTCCCTGAAAAGAGACACAAAGCTTCCATATGTGATTGTGTTTGCTGCATGTAGACACACATCCTTCTGAACATAGTAATTCAAATTACATTTCTTTAAAGTCATTGAAAAATGTATAGCTAAAGCTATGTCTCTATGTGCAAATTGAGAGAAGAAAGTAAAACATAATTAAAATTGAATATGTAGCCTATTACATTAAATAATGACATTTATTTTAAAATACCCACATTGACCCAGTTCCATTGGTTGTATTTAAAATAGCACCATGTTTTTCTCCTGAGAAAACTTTTCTGTATAAATACATTCATTCTCCCTCCCTTACAGGCTCTTTCTTGACTGAACAAAAGTAATTTATGCTTTTTTTTTTTTAACTTAGAAGTTTTTATAATCAAAGACAGTCTCTAAAGCATGTAATAGGATGGCAGATATGAAGGTCGATAGATATGTTTTATCAGTTTCAAACACATCAACAGTTCAAATCATCAATTTGTATACTGGGGAGTATACAAATGTGATAACCAATAGTATAATTTTTAGCAGTTCATGTGGATTTGATGCCAGACCTGGCTGCAAGGTAGTGTGGCGTAAACAAAGCAAAGGCCACACTTCGCTTTGAGTTCTGAGTTTGTCAGATCCTCAGTGTCACTGATAACTGCCTAGGCGTTAAGCATCTTGCCAACTCTAAATTCTACTCTACATTCTTGCCAACTTTAACTAAATTCAACTTCTGAAGTCAAAGCTAAATTAAATTTCAAATTAGAATTAGAAAATTCTAAATTCTTTGACTGGTTTATAAAACCAAATTTCCATACATGCACATATATGTGTGTGTGTGTGTGTGTGTGTGCGCGCTTGCATGTTTTTTGAGATGGGATCTCACTGGCATGGTCATGGCTCAGTGCAGCCTCCGACTCCTGGGCTTGAGTGATCCTTCTGCCTTAGTCTACCAAATAACTGGGACTACAGGTATGTGCCACTATGCTCAGCTAATATTTTAAAATTTTTGTTAATGAATGAGAGCTTCTTATGTTGCTCAGGTTGGCCTGGAACTCATAGCCTCACCTCCTCAAGTGCCAGGACAACTGGCCGGAGACACCGTGGCTCCCGATATTTTAAAATTTTTGAAGATGGGGTTGTACTATGTTGCCCAGGTTGGTCTTGAACTCCCGGTTTTAGGCGGTCCTCCCACCTCTGTCTCCCAAAGTGCCAAGATTACAGGCATAAGCTACCACATGTGGCCAAATACTGTGTATAATATATTTTCCCCAGTAGCTCCCATGGACAATGTAAAGCCTTTTATTGTTATAGCAGTGGTTCTCAAAATGTGATCCCTAGATCAGTGGCATCAGTATCATTTAGGAACTTGTTAGAAATGCGGATTCTCAGGCTCCACCTTAAACTTGCTGAATCAGAGATTTTGAGGACAAGGCAGCAACTTGGGTTTTAGCAAATTCTCCAGGTGATTGGGACCTACCGGTTTATACTATGATATTAAAGGATGATTTCAAAGAATAGGGTAATTCCCAGATTATTACACGGAGACCTTTACAACTCAGTCTCTTCCTGGACTGCACAACAAAGAATCCTTAAACAGAAGAGAGTGAGCCAAAATGGATGAGGATGGACGTTAACAACCAAGGCACGTGGTACTGCCATTTCCTGCTGGAACACTTTCCAATCCCGCATCTTCCGCCTCTGGGTTTCCATCTTCCTGTATCTGTTTTTATAACGAGTGTTCATCTAAGCATGCCAACTAAGTTCATACTGACTAATTATAGATGAGATGTAAATTGGCAACCAGAAAAATAGAAAAACATCCCTAAACAATGCCTATTGATAAGTATCTGGAATTTTTTCTGGGAAACATAGGTGTGCTGCCTCAAAATGTAAGACATGAAGGAATGTTCCCAGAAGGGTAGGAGTGGCTGGACTGAAATTGAAGCCGTAATTTGAAGTGACACAGTGGACACCTCAAGGTCGTGACATATTATTTATTGTTTCAATTATAAGAACAATAAAACTGCAGCAGGCAGCAGGGGCCACGAGGTTTTGCCAGCCTTCCACATGATACTGTTCCCCCTCACCGGCACTTCTAATTTCCAGAGGCTCGAATTCACTAAGCAGTCTCAGCAAGCACACACATTAATATATTTGCCCAGGACAGAACAGCTTTCGAGCTGGCAGTTATTGATAAAGATATGTCACCCCTGGTTTTGTTCTTTACTGGAAGGCTTCTGGGTAGGGATGTTGAAATCCTTTTTATCACTTCCACATGGGTTGTCTTGTTGGCACAAATGAAGAGGCCGGGGACCACAATCATTTCTCAACTCCTAAAACAAAGGACGGTGGATTTCATTATTCTGAGGGCCCTGGGGATTGGACATCTTTGGACGCATTCAAAAAATAAGGAAGCTGCATGTTAAAAGGCCTCAGTGTTGATTAAAAAGTAGGAACAAAACTACGTGCTCTTGCATTTATCACATGTATTAATTGCACTGCTATCTTTGGCTTGCAGAATAGGACGTTATAAAGAATGCAGTGACCATTTTGGAATGTTGAAAATCCCATTATTCATATGGATTAAGAAACAAAAGTGAAGTCACCAAGCACTGGGTTATGCCCATCTAAAGATTTGTTGATGGAATGAAATTTATCTTCTATTCACACTCCAACAACTTCTGAATAATAATTTCTAGTGCTGCTCTTGTGTGCATTTCTGGTGCTTCTGAGCTCTGATGTGATCCTTTCCATCTTGAGATATACTTCTCTCTCTTTTTAGTATCTTTGTAAAATTTGCTAAAAAGAAACCTGTGGAAGTGATCATGTCACCTCTTGTTTATAATACTTAAATAGAGTTTTTTTTGTGTGTAGTCAGCAAAGGATGGCTAATCTTACTACTGCTTATTCTTGCAACCTTAGTGCATGCTGCTCACCCCTTGCCCTCTGAGTTCTGAACTGACTACCCTCCTCTGAGATGCTCAAAGGCCCTTGATATGCTTTGGCTGTGTCCCCACCCAAATCTCATCTTGAATTGTAGCTCCCATAATTTTCACATATTGTGAGAGAGACCCAATAGGATGTAATTGAATCCTGGGGGGGGGGGGGCGGGTTCCTCATACTATTCTCATGGTAATGAATAAGTCTCAGGAGATATGATGGTTTTATAAGAGAAAACCCCTTTTCGCTCAGCTCTCATTTTCTCTCATTTGCCACCATGTAATACATGCCTTTTGCCTTCCAACATGGTTGTGAAGCCTGCTCAGTTATGTGGAATTGTGAGTTCATTAAACTTCTTTTTCTTTATAACTTACCCAGTCTTGGGTATGTCTTTATCAGCAGCATGAAAATGGACTAATCCAGCCCAAATTCCTTTCCACTCATCCTTTTGCGCATGTTGCTTAGTCACCAGGAATAATCTTTCACTTTGCCTGGGAAATCCCACCACTCTTTTTTTTTTTTTAGATGGAGTCTCACTCTATCACCCAGGCTGGAGTGCAGTGGCCTGATGTCGACTCACTGCAACCTCTGCCTCCTGGGTTCAAGTAATTCTCCTGGATCAGCCTCCCAAGTAGCTGGAATTACAGATGCCTGCCACTGCGCCCAGCCAATTTTTTTTTTTTGTAGAGACATGGTTTCACCATCATTGCCAGGCTGGTCTTGAACTCCTGACCTCAAGATCCACACGCCTTGGCCTCCCAAAGTGCTGGGATTACAGTGTGAGCCACCGCACCCAGCCTTTTATTTTATTTTATTTTATTTTTTAGAGGGACTCTCACTTTGTTGCCCAGGCGGAAGTGCAGTGGCGTAAGTTCAGCTCACTGCAACCTCCACCTCCCAGGTTCAAGCACTTCTCATGCCTCAGCCTCCCAAGTAGCTGGGACTACAGGTGTGTGCTACCACACCCAGCTAATTTTTGTATTTTTAGTAGGGACAGGGTTTCACTATGTTGGCCAGGCTGGTCTTGAACTCTTGACCTCAAGTGATCTGCCTGCCTTGGCCTCCCCAAATTCTAGGATTACAGGCATGAGCCACTGTGCTGGGCCCCATTTATCCTTATCACAGCTCTTACAGATCTCTTTCTGGAGACCCTGCTTCTGGCTCCCATGCTGCACAACCCCAGGCATATGTTCTTAAAGCATTTTATGGTTTTGCCTTAGAGTAATTATTTGATTAATGCCTGTTGCCCATCATAGAGGCCACAATTAGTTCATCATTGTATCCCTAGCCCTTAGGAGAGGGCCAGCCTTGCTTACTGTGGGCCATAATGGCCATCAAAATTGTTGAGCAGGGAATGATATGGTTGGATATGTTTTAGAAAAATAACCCTTGTTGTAAATTTGGAGGTCAAATTGGAGAGTGGAACAATTAATAATAGAGACTTCTTATAGGGAACTATTGTAGTTGTCCAGGAAGAAAAACAAAAAACAGAACTACCTAAAATATCAATTTTATGATCCATTCACCCATGTGCCAAACGTTTATTGAGTGCCTAAAATGTACATGTCAGATACTGTGCTGGGTGCTGAGACAATAAAGGACTCTATTTGGAAAATGAAAAGGAAGGGATAGATTTTAAGGGAGTCTAGAGGTATAATCAATAGGACCCACTAAACAATTTAGGATGGAGAAGAAGGACTTCAAAAGGAATCTAAGATTTCTTGCTCAATGACCAAAGAGAGGGTGATTCTATTAACTCCTTTTTAGAACTTCAGGAAGAGTAGCAAGTCAGAACAAAAGGGAGCGAGCTCAAGTTGAACAGGTTGAGTTTGAGATGCTTATCAGATTTCCAGATGAATCAAATGATTCAATCAAAGTTTTTGAAATGAAGCATCGTTCTTCAGTGCAAAGCTTCCAGGGGATTTCAAATGTAGAGACTGAGAAGACAGCAAGGCCCATTAAAAAAATATAAAAATTTAGTTTTAAAAATGCTGTCTCTTTTGACCTTTACAATGTGAATATTTTGAATGGGAGTGAGTAAAAACAATTGATTTTTTTGTAAAGAAATGCTGAAGAAATACATTCATCAATACTGTAGTTTGAACATAAAGAAAATCAGAATAGTTATAAATAAGATTATAAATAGTATAGCATTCTTGTTGGGCAGCAATGGATTAAATGGATGTTTGCTACTGTACTGCTTTTTGAGCTAATTACAATTATATATAATATATTTTAGGGCATGTGATTATAACTGTATGGCATATATAATAAATAATATGTTTATATCACAAAGTATAAATTATAAACATATATGAATTATATAAAAATATACTTTCGTCACTTAAAATACAGAAGAGAACAGTTTATTTTTTTCCATCTTTTTTTCCTGAATATGTAACTCTTGCACTTGTCTCTTTCAGGCAATGCTTAAGAATGTATGTAACCGACAAATACAGTGATAAATGTCTTTTGCAGCATGCTTCAAAATCTCAAGAGATGTAGGGGCAGCATAAAACTCTAACCAGAAAAATCCATTATATATTGTGTGAGCCAAATACTTTCTCTAAAATGAAAATGAGAGATTCAAATCAGTGACAAGAAGGAGCATGTGGGACTTCAGCTGACCGTAGGAGGACACAGGTGTGCTTTAGCACCACAAATGAACACAGAATTATCTAAGAACACCTTGCCTTGCCAACTCTTTAATATCACATGAAACTTGGGCCAAGAATGCAGCGATACTGAAGCACACCAATGCCAGTATTGTTTTGCCATGTCTATTTTAGCCATTGCATTTGTTTTTTGTTCAATAAAATGTTACATCAGTACTGAAGTAGAATTCATTAAGGTTTGAGAGGAGATATTTTCACTGGCTTATTGGTTAAACCGAGGTTTCTTTTTCCCTCCCTGGTTACACGGTATTCTGACAGCTCATATTTTAACAAGATAAAATTTTGACTTCACGTATTCTCTCAGTAAATACCCATTTAGATGGGATTTGATGGACAGGACTCTCTGGACTGTAGGTAGAGAGATAAAGGGATGACTGAGTTACAGCTGAAGGGGAATTCCACATGTTGGGCATAGAGAAGAGTAGGTAAAGGTATAGGGGTGACAGAGAGCATGGGTGCTCAGATGATGGCAAATAGCTGAGCATGGCTGGGTGCATGAACTAGAATATTGCTTGAATGTGGGGGAGTAGGATTGTGGGTTGCATAACTGGTCAGGAGCAAACTGTGACTAGCCTTGAATAGCAGTCTACAGAATTAAGATTTCCAAAAGTCATTAAGATATGTATCCTCGAGTGTGCAGGGATTTTTACTAAAGGAGTGACGTGACCAGATCTGCCATTTAGAAAGATGACCCCAGCCTTCATGTGGAGGATCGTTTGGATGATAAGGCAAGGAATCAGAAGAGAAGGAAGGGTTGCCAAGGAAGAAACTCTCGTAGCAATTCGAATGAAAATGCTGAACACTGAACCAAGGACAAGACTTTGAATGTGGAAGGGAGGGAACCACATACGACGGATCTCAAACTTGGATATTGGGGATGAAGGATGAGGGAAAAATCCCAGGTCAGTTGGGTTGATGGAGTGTGTATTCGTTTGCGAAGGCTTCTTTCTGTAACTAAGAGCACAAACGGAGCGGCTTAAACAATAGCAATGTACTGCCTCAGAGTGCTGGAGGCTGAAAGTCTAAAGTCAAGGTGTTGGCAGGGCTCGTCCTGAGGACTGTGAGAGTACAGTCTGTTTCCTCGCCAGATAAACCAGTGTTTGTGGTAGGAAATTACGAATGTATCATTGGTTATGCTGAGTTCGAAGTATGAAGGGTTCATGCAAATAGCAAATATTTCTTGAACTGGACTTACAATTTTAGAACATAGAAACCAGTGTCTCTCAAAGAGGACAGGCTTTGGGTACACTTCCTACTATATTCTCTTTTATTTATCATTCTTGAATTTAAAAAGTATTTAAATTACATTAGCAGAAAGGCAGAAATTTAGATATTGCCTGGAAATTTTAAAAATAAAAAATAAAAGGGGTGAAGTAGAAAACAATAGGAGACTTTTCCCAGATGAATGTCAACAGCTTGGTATTCGTGTGATAAGTTGTGATTAACGGGCAAGCAGCTCAAACATGGTTAAAGGAGCTGGGTCTTTGAGTTTTCTTTAGAAAATGTTGATTCTGTAATATGAGTGACACATCTCCATATACCCCAGAGCAGCATCTGGTTTGATATTGAGGTTTTGCCTAACAGTCTTCTTCAGAAAACTGGAACATTGAGCCAATTTCTTTTTTTTTTTTTTTCAATTTCTTAATATATTATTTTCGATAGATTTTCTAAGGAAAACATTTCTGTGAAAATGTTTGTTTTTCATACTCATAACTCCT